CATCATTGTCATATTAGCAGGCGACACAAAGACAACAAGGTGGTGTAAACACTATAACTAAAGTTAGCAGTCCCCTCTGGTCCTTCCTGCTTCGTTCCTGAACAGTTTTGTTGCTGTTACTGGGATGCCCATCCGAGCAGATGAAACAGTGCTTGTTAGAAAGCTGCTGTTTGCAAACTTTATCCTGCAAAAAAACTAAAATTATTAATAGAAATTAAACAAATGCAGCAACATCTGAATTTGAATCGAACAGATAAAAATAAAACAATTAATTAAACTGTGACACATTTAACAGCATTATTATTAATGATGTGATGAGAGACTCACTCTTATTTGTGCTGATCCAGTAGCTCACTGCAGATGTGTTTTCTGTGTTTATACCAGTCAGCTTTTATGGCTTTTTAGTTTTCCTTAGTGGTGCCTTAAGACCTTATCAAGCACCCAGGGGTGCACAAGAACCAACTAAACTCATCATTTTGACTGTAATAAATGTGGTGTGAGGATTAACTGATGTCACACAGGTGTGTTTCAGCTCCTTACCAAGCTCAGTATTTTCATAGCCTTAGAACATAAAGGTTTTAAAACCTTAGAGTAAATGGATAAAATTAGAGTTTTGCTTTTTATCTGATGGTTTTTAAATTCTTATAGTGTTTATTGTAAAATGAAGATTAAAAAAAAGTTCCTAATTTGAGACATATTTGATGGTTTGTTCCACTTACTCTCTGTAATCTATAAAAAGCTCACAAATCCCTGTATGAATACAACCACTTAGAAAACATATAATTACCATCTTTTATCCCTGTTTCTCTGTGTCAATCTTTACTCTGTTTCACTTTCAACTCATGTGCGAAGCCTCAAAAATGTTTTTTTTCCTCTTTTTACTGATAAAAGCACGTAATTGAGCTGTGTTTCCACTAGCAGTCACTACACACTTATTTGCATGAAAAAAAACAAGTGCGTGCTTAAAAGCAAGCTGCAAAAAAAAGAAAAAAAAAGGACACCAACCTCTGCTCAGACATGCAATAAGGCAGCTAATTACTAAAGCAGCACAATGACTTTGTGTGAAATCCCATCACATCATACGTATACAAACATCATCCAATCAGAGCTCGTTGCATGCATCCTGCAAAAACACAGCAAATCATCACAACTGCTGGTGTTATTGATCCAAAACAAATAAGAGGGTGGGTGGTGG